TTGGAGTGCCGCGCGAGTGCAGCAGGAGCTTGGTCTTGTCAGTCCCAACAAAGGCAGTGCTTCCATGGAAGTGGACCAAGAAGGTTCCGTGGCCCAAATCAAGGGTCAGGATAAGGGCAAAGGCAAGAAAGGGAAGGATAAAGGGAAAGGCAAAGGTGATAAGGGAAAGTCTAAGGGTGCCCCCAGCCCTAAGGGTAAGCCGAAAGCCAAACCTAAGGCCTCCCCCGATGCCGAATGCCACTACTGCCACAAGAAAGGACACTACAAGAGAGATTGCAGAAAGTACAAAGCTGACCTTGCTGCGGGCAAGGTGCGTGCCATCACTGAGGATGATGCTGCTGCTGGTGGAGATCAAGGATCACCGTCGCCCAAGGCAGCCGCCAAAGCAGCTGTGAAGCGCATCATGTTTGACATTCGTGCTATGCCTGGTGATCCCGCTTCCTCCTCAAGTGTTAGAGCGATTCGTTGTGCAGATTCGCATGAGCCGTGCCAGTCAGATCCGTTTGCAGTTTCGCATGAGCCGTGCCAGTCAGATCCGTTTGCAGTTTCGGATGAGCCGTGCCAGTCAGATCCTTGTGCAGTTTCGGATGAGCCGTGCCGGTCAGACCTGTCCATAGGCCGCGTTGAGTCCACTTTGGTCCGATGTGTGCCCAGTGGCTGTCCTGCAGAGTTTGACATATCTAGCAGTGACCATGATGGCGATTGGGATCTCAGCCCTGTTTCGTCACCCATGCGTGTAGCTGCAGTCAGCCGTCACAGCTATGAGCAACAGTTGGAGATCTGTGTCGACACAGCCGCCGATGAGTCATGTCTGCCTCTTGACTTCGTGTGTGTTGGGTCTCATGCGTCAGGTGAGCCACCGCTTGTTGACTGCCAGGGCAACACGATTCACACCAAGGGCAGCCGATTGGCCACTTTGGAAGCTTCTGGAGTCGAGCTGAAGGAGCGCTGGGTTGTGTCGCCAGTTTCTCAGCCGATTCTGGCCACGGGCAAGTTGCTCAAGCAGGGCTGGAGGTTTCTTGACTTTGATGATCTTGGAATGTGCCTGACCAGCCCGTGTCATGGAGCGCGGATCCCTGTGGGTTTCAGCAACAACACTCTTGTGTGCAAGGGCGTCATACGCTCTATCCAGGAGCCTCAGCCCTCTGCAGTTCGGGTTATTAAGGTGCGCTTGACTGGCTTGCTTGACCGCCTTATCCGCAGCACAGACTTCTTTCAGGAGATTGCCCCAGGTGTACATGCCACGAGCCTCACTTCGAAGCACCTTGTCGATTTGAGCTTGTATCTGCCTTACGAGGGTCTCGCCTACCGCACCACCTTGATCAAGATAGATGGGGATTGGGTTCTTTCCGAGCTTTCATCTTCAATCGCCGACCTTGGCGAAGACTTGACCACTCAGGTTGCCGATCAGGAGGTAGAGATGATCGTGTTCGGTCATCGGGAGCCGCTAGCACCCAGCGACCTCGGTTTCGCAACTGATGTGCCAATTCTTGATGCGCCGGCCCCTGCACCTCCAGAGTCTTCAGCAGATCCCGTGTTTGAGGATTTCTTCGGTGAAGCAATGCAGGAGGCCGATGTTGAGTTAGGCGGCGGGGCTGAAGTTGAGTCAGCCGGCGGGGCTGCAGCTGAAGCAGCCGGCGGGGGCGAGGCACGCGGTGGTGCCCTTGATGATGCAGTGATGCAAGGGGCACTCGCTGACGAACGCGAAGCCCAGCCAGACAAGATTGTTGTCGATGATGTCGAACTGAGTCTTGACAGCACCCTGTCAGTGCTTCGCCGTGCATGCCAGAGCCTTGGTGTCGGGAAATCAGGCTCGAAAGCCGTGGTGTTCCGTAGGCTGTGCAACCAGCTTGACAGGCTTAAGCTGATTGAGGCTAGTCGCGCCGCTGAGGTTCCGAATGCACCTGTGCCCAATGTGCCGGCAGCTCCGAAGGAGCCCACACCAGAGCAGCGACGAGCCCACGAGGCTGTGCACGCCCCATATGAAGCATGGTGCCAGCACTGCGTGGCCTTTAAAGCAAGGGATGACATGCACAAAGCTGCCAACACTGATCGCAAATTTCCTGTGATATCCTTCGACTACGGCTTCACTGGCCGATCGGAGGAGGATGGCCCTCACAACAAGCTTGCCTTTCTGTGTCTTCACGATTCTGAGAGTGGCTGGCGAGAGGCCATCCCGGTGCCAGGCAAGGCAGGCGTGCATGATGGGATCAATGTCACCAGCTACCTTGCTGCTGAGATTTGCAGGTTGCTTAGCATGCTAGGCTACTCCAAAGTTGTGCTTCAATGCGACCCCGAGCCCACATGCTTGAAGTTACGCAATGAGGTGAGGCGCATGCGGCTACAGCTGGGTTTGCAAACTGATGTGCAGCAGTCAGCTGAGGAAAGCCACCAATCCAATGGAGGTGCCGAGGTTGCCGTGCAAACGCTGCGGCAGCAGTGCAACACTCTGCTCTCGATGTACGAAGCAGAGACCAAGCTTAAAGTCGCAACGGCCCACGCTCTCCATTCATGGTGCCTCCGGCATTCTTCTTGGATCCTGAACAGATTTGTGCTGCGACCCGGAGGGCTTACTCCTTTCGAGATCATACATGGCCGTCCTTACAAAGGGAAAGTGCTACCGTTTGGCGAAACTGTGATGGGATTGGTTTCTCCCGGGCCCAAGGGCAAACCGCGGTTCATCCAGGCCATCATGATCGGAAAGTGCACTCCGAATGATGAGTTCATCTTGTGTTCTGGAGCCGGCAAGCTCATGTTGGCCCGCACCGTGCGCCGACTTGCCACTGGCTTCACTCCAGCCTTGCACGACTGTGTCCGTGATCCTCCTTGGCGCCACCCCGGGTTTGTAGCGGGTTCCTTAGGTAGGTCCCGAGCCCAACGCAAGCCGAAGGTCCTTCCGGCTGGCGGTGACGCAAGGTTGGTAGTTGAGGATCAGCTTGGTGGGGTTTCCGACTTGCTAGGTGAGCTCGCGGCCTTGCCTGAAGGTCCTGGAGAGATCCCTGAGGATGCGCGCGATTACAGCCCTTCTCAGGAAGCCGCTTCTGATCCTGAGAGTTCTTCGCAGATGAGTGAGGATGACCCCGATGGTCATCGTTCCGGTGAGGCTGCTGCTCCCGCTTCTGGCGGCACTGACGCCGCAGAGCTTCCGTTGCAGTCTGGTGCCCCCGTTGCACCGCAGGCTGTTGCTACAGGTGATCCTTTGGTGCAAGGCAGTGCCGGTTCTGCTGAGCCTATGCCCATTGACCCTGCCACTTCAGTTGCAAGGGAACGTCCCAGGCCAGCAGGTGAGGAGGGTGCTCCAGGTCCTGAGCCCAAACGTGCAAGGATTGCAGCCGCAACTGTGTGCGGTGTGGAGTACCACCATGCCGACGAGGATTCCGATCTTGCATTCTCCCCAGCGGACATTGAAAGCATCAATGATCTTGACGGCCTGTGTTCAGATGATGAAGAGGAGGAGTGTGAGCAAGGCCTTGCCCCTCCTGATGAGCTTTATCGGCCTTTCTCACCACATGAGCCTGCCCTGAGCCCCGAGGAGCTTGCTGACCTTGATGCGCTGTGCGACCACCACGAGATAGCTAGGCTCAAGGCAATGGGTGTGATCTACCAGCCTGAGTCAGGCAATGAGGACTGCAAGTCATTGACGGTGAAGTTCGTTCGCAGCTGGCGACCGAAAATCCATCCAGTCACTGATGCCCCTGTGTGGCTCAGGAGATCTAGGCTAGTGGCCCGGGAATTCAGGTTCAGAGATCCCCTCAGGGAGGGTTTATACAGCCCTGCATCCCAAACTGTGCTGCTCAAGCTTCTGCCAGGCTTGTACATGTCTCGCAAAGGGTATGCCCTGTTGTCCTGTGATATATCAGACGCCTACTTGACTTGCGAGCAGCCGTGCCCGACCGTGGTGACGCTCCACGGCACTACGTACCGTTTGGCATTTATGCTACCGGGGCAGCGGGATGGCTCAGCGGTCTGGTTTTCCACCTTCACCAAGTATCTGGTTTCGGAGGGCGGAGTTTCGTTGTGGCCCGGATGCGAGGCGCTGTTTGCTATGCGCAACCACTCCGGCGGAGGACTCCTTCACGTAGACGACTTGTTGGGGTCAGGCGAGCATGCTGAGCTGCAGAGACTTGCGCAGATCATAGAGTCAAAGTACAAGTGCACTCTTGAGTGGCTTGTTTGCGAAGGCGACAGCTTGCACTTCTTGAAGCGCAAACATACTTTGGCCCGTCAGGATCTGCTTTGCATTCAGAAAGCTGACAAACATATCATGAAACTTGTTGAGCTTTTGCAGCTTGAGCGCCATTCCCCGAAGCCCACTCCGTTGCCATTGCAGACACTTGATTTGGCCAAGTCAGAGCCTCTCCCAGAGGATCAGGTGTCGGTTTACAGGTCGTGCATCGGGATTCTGATGTACATCTCTGCGGACACTGCCGATATGCAACATTCCATTCGCATGCTCTCCCAGCACCTTGCCTGCCCAACCGAGGCTTGTATGAAGGCCCTCAAACACCTGGTTCGATATGCTAAATCAACCAGCGGGTTTTGCCTTGGGCTGGAGCGCACGCATGCAGGACATGGCACCAGAGTCCAGTGTGATACCGGCGCCGACGTGCTGGAGCTGTACACAGACTCCGACTGGGCTTCAGATCACACCACGCGCCGGAGCGTGAGCGCTGGGGCCTTGTACTTGAATGGGAATGCGATTTATACGGCGAGCCGCACGCAACGAGTCGTAGCTATGTCAAGCTGCGAGTCTGAGCTCAATGCCCTTGTGTCTTTTGCGGTCGACTTGATGTATGTGAAGGAGGCCCTGCGGTTCATTGTTGGAGTCACTCCCGAAAGCCATGCCTTCAGCGACTCCTCCTCAGCTCGTGCTGTTGTGAACAAGCAAGGGCTCTCCAAGCTCAAACACGTCGAGATCAGTGCTGTGGGTTCAACAGGCCCTGAAGGATGGAGCATTCAAGCTCCACCCGGTCGGGACCCTTGACAACTCTTCGGACTTGATGACCAAGGTGCTTAAGCGTGAGCGAATGCTGTACTTGATGTACCTCTTGAATATCAGGGATGGTGATGCTCAGTTCAATCGCGTCGGAGAGGCCCAGGCCGTTGCTCGTGACAACAACCTGTCCTTGAAGCTTGCGGTTAAGGCAGTGAAGGCATTCAGGGGACCCCCGCAACGGGTGCATGCGCTCCTGCAAGCGCTGACCTTCATGTCCTTGATCGATGCCAATCAGGCACGCATGCTTGACTCCGAGAGCCGTCCGCATGTGCTTGAAAGCGCCTTGAGCGGTTGCGGATTCATCCTTGTGTGCATCGGATGCCTCGCGGTGCTATGCATGAGCCTGCAGGGTTGCCAAGCTGAGATTGCAGATGAGCTCCCCGACCCATGGGTTGTATGGTTCACCCTAATCGTAGGATTCCTCATAGGTCTAGGGTTTTGGTTTGTGTTGCCAAGTGCCGAGCTGCAGCAACAGATGCCTTGTGAACCCGACGACGCCACCACACCTGCTTGTGACGACGACGCGCCGACCTTGAGCGATGACATTCCTTCAGATGGTGAGCTTGCGCAAACACCCGATGTGACCAGAGCATCCTCTGATGAGCCGCTGTCAGAGCCAACGCAGAGCAATGATGGGGCAGGCGATGGCAACAGCCACCCTGCTTCACCCACTGCCCATGATCCGATCGACGAGCCTGAGAACCATGCCTTGGCAGCAGTGCCGATTGCAGTTGTTGATCCTCCTGGATTCCCTGCTGCTGTCGATCAGCTGCTTGTGTATCATGCGCCGATCTCTGGGCGCAGATGGCATGTGTTCCGAGGGTGTTGGGGTTTAAGTAGAGCTGCTGTCATTGCTGAAGAAGAGCTTGGTGTGCTTTTGCGACGTGATCCCAGGATCACGATGTGCTTGATCTGCATGAACCGAGTTCGCAATGACTTGCGATTCCCAATGCTTCGGATTACCGATGAAGCCGACGATCCACGCCGAGAACACCCCGAACCCGAGCCTTTCCAGTAGTTTGTGGTTTAGTCCCTTCTTGTAAAACAAGCTTGAGACTATCCTTGAGTTGCGACTTCAATGCACTTGTGAGGTTATCCAATGCTTTGGACGTCCATGTTACCAGCCATTTGGGAAGTCAGACCCACTTGGGCTGAAGAAGCCGATCTTGCTTTGCGCTATAGGCGACTGCGTGTTTCGACTTGGTGACTCGTGGATGTCACCGTTTTGCGAACTTGCTGCCATAATCCTTGATGTCTTGAGCTAGCCAGCAGCGCTAGGTTTTGGCATTACTCTTGAGAATGGCTGTTGGGTCTTTCTTGAAAGGGGCACCGGCCCTCTTAAGCAGCCGAGCGCTGCTCCTGCAGCACAGGTGAGGTCCGAGGTCCGTAGCAGGCAGTGAAGTTTCACACCCGAGGCCCAGGACTGCGGTACGTCCGCGCTCGGCAGAGACGAACAGCAAAGTGCGGTGCGACTTTCTCGGCATGTGCATGGCGGCTTGTATAGGTTCCTTCTTTCTTGAAACTCGTTTGTCGAACATTTCGAGTTTTCCACTGTTCGGCTTGTAAGCTCAGTGCTTTGTCGCAGTGACGAACACAAACAAATGCAGCACGAGGTCTTGAGGACTCATGTGCATTTGGGCGGGGTGCTTGTGTTTTACGTAACCTGCACCCAGGAAGGAAGGAAGGAGTTTGTAGTTTTGAGGAGTAGGTTTTGTGAAACATTTTCCTATTCTCTCTTCTGATTTTCCAGTCATGCAAGTTTGCCGCCATTGCATGTGTGCTGAGTATATGTCGTATCGCAGGCGCTTTGTTTCAAGGGTGAAAACATTCAACTACAACAAAACTGCCCTAAACCCTAGGCCCTAAACACCTTAAACCCTGAACCGTCACAAAACCGTTGTTTAAACCCTAAACCTTAAACACCCTAAACCCTAAACCGTCACAAAACCGTTGTTGTGAGCCGTTTGCAAGCACTTTAAGCAGTGTATGAAAACTTCGCAACTTCTCAACATTTAGAATAGTCATTGCTAAAACATGGAGCCTGATTTGGAACGAATCAGCACACCGGAAGCTACCAAGAAAAGACGGCAGTACAAAAAGAACGAGGCCGAGGCCGTTCGTGCTCGGCGTGAGCCGCCTGTGTTCGTTCCGTTTTGTGCAAGTGACATCAGTGACATAGCTGATGAAGAAGTGTCTGGTGAAACTGTGCAGTGTGTCGGGGTCCACTACTTGGTGGAGTTCGCAGAGTCGCTGCAAAGTGCTCCGGATGCGTGTGCGGCCGGTGAGTTGGCTTCGCATTAAGATGCGTGGATGTCTCGACCTTTGCGACGACGGGACCGGGAAGCCCAGGACTCGCGACTTGGGAAAGGTTCAGCGTCGCTCACCGGCCAATTTTGTAAGCTGCACGTCGCCAATGTGTTCCACTTCCCGGACCGGCGGTGCTTTTTGCGAAAGCAAGATGCATTCCCCGGCAAGCAGATCGTGCAACACCAACCTGTGCCCGAACACTGCCGACATGTTAAACATTCTGCCAGGAACAGTAACACAGCTAGTGCAGTACAGTTAATGTACAGGAACAGCCGTCACGCACACGCGACGTGCAGGCTCGAGACCCCAGGACACACCGTGCCCAGGAACAAAAGTGTCCGACAGTCTTTGTGGGTAGGAACCCTTAGTGAAGCCCGTTCTTTAACATGGTAGCGGAGCTGCCTCCAGGAACCTCCTTGGCAGCGATGATGCTACTCGTAGCCATAGGAACCATGATGCTCGGCGCCATGGTAGTTTGCCTCGTTGCCGGATGGAAGCAGATGCGCGCAAATGAGCAGATCACCAAGAAGACGGAGACAGTGCTCAACATGCCCACGCTCAGGATCGCAGTCCGTTCAGGAACAAAGTACCACCGCAGAGGTTGTGGACACCTTCGCAACCACAACGTGACAGCAGGAAACGCGCGAGACTTTGACGCTTGCGCCGATTGCTACCCCGACCGAGTGTTGGTGGAAGAGAGAGAGAAAAGGAACATGAAGTGCTACGGTTTGGCAGCATGTATGGTGCTGCTGGTTGGTTTCGCACTGGGAAGCCTCGCAACTTTGTGCGGGATGATCTTGGTCCCAGGAGCAAGAAGTATGGCGGTGAGACCGTGGCAGGCCCTTGGCAACAACGTGGAGACCAAGGAAGAACTTGCCCTTGGAGACGTCTTATCCTCCAAGGATGCGAGCCGTGGGAGAAAGGAACTCACTTACGTGGAGAGCGACGAGAGCGAGCTCATGGCAGTGTGGTCGAGCAGAAGGAAGCCCAATACGCACCGGAACCGCTACAGGAACTATGACGTGTACGGCGAGTACTACCAGCAAGGCTACAACGAGTGCAGCGTGAACCCCGACGGCACCAACGTGAACACGATCAGGAACACAAACGCGTACACGATTAAGGACTATGTGGAGATAGGAAAAGTCATGGTACCGTACGCTTTGTTGTGCGTGAACCAAGTGATGAACGAGCTCTACAGCGTCGTTAGCGTGACCGGCGAGTACTACACGGAAGAGAACAGGAACGGCGACCAGAACACCGAGAACCAGGAGAGTGAGAGCCTTGAGTCAGGCTACGCCCCTAGGTACCTAGTAAAACAACAGCGAGAAGTACTGAGGAAATTTGTACAGGAACATGTTCACAGTTTCGTAGAAAAGCTAGCAACTGTAGGAAAGAAGTTTCACGACGTCGTGCATGTGATAGTTCAGGAAGTCATTTCCAACAGAGTTGTATTTCAAGGAATTCGCATAGCAGTGTTCTTAGGAACCCCAATGGGACTGATTACTTGGATCACCCTGTCGTACTATTCTAGTGTGTTTTTCGCAAGAGCAAGCAACCGCTCAAAGCACCAAAGGAAGACAAGAGGAGAAAGGAGAGCACAAGCAGTGTGCAGGAAGCAGTGCAAGTCGCTACTTTTAGCAGCACTAGTGTACAGCAACCTTGAAACAGCAAAAGGAATGGAGGATGCATTGAAGGCACTTGCCGAGATCAATGCACAGACCTTACAAGGAATACAAACACTAGCAGAGGAGATCAGGAACTCAGCAGCTTCAGGAAGTCAAAGAGAAGCAGGACTTACACAAGCATTCCAGGAAACCCTGACAGCAGTTCAGGAACAGCAGAAGACAGCGCAAACAGCGTTGGCAGACGCCCACACGAACGCAGCAACGACACTTGAGGAGATAGGAGCATCTCTGGAGAAAGCAGTAAAGGAACAAAGAAAGCCTGGAGAAGTGGAGTTGCACAAGCTGATTAAAAGCCCCGAAGCATTTTCCCCAGGAACATGGCAAGAAGAGAAGAGTGGATGGACAGAGTTCAGGAACAGGATGCGGATCTGGCTTGGAGCAGTGGATTCCAACATGGTAAAGATCATGGACATCGCCGAAAGGAACTTAAAAGATGATAAGCAAGTGAAGATGGCTGAGATGTCTGCAGAAGCAAAGGAAACAAGCAGACGCCTGTACAGTGTTCTTTGTTCATACACTAAAGGAAGGCCGTACCGAGTTGTAAAGCATGTAGCTGAGGAGAACGGTATGGAAGCTTACCGTATGCTACTCAAGGAATATCAACCAACGAATCGTGCGAGATCGTTGGAGTTGTTTCACAACATTCTCAACTACAAATTCGCTCACAACAAAGGAATTGCTGAGAATATCCTCGAATATGAGGAACACATCGAGAAGTACGAGAAGGCTACTGGAGAAAAGGTACAGGAGAATTTGAAAGTATCTACTCTTATTCAAGGTATGAAACCTGACGTGAAAAGGCACTTGTTGCTCAACATGGATGAGAAGACACAGTACAATACTCTTCGTCAGTACCTTGTGAACTATGAGTCAACCGAGCGTTGGACTAACTCTTTGGCAGCCCAGCAAGGAACACCTCACCGAACCACAACAGACTTGATCGACAAAGGTGATGACCATGGTGGTCTTGCAGCAATGGATATCAACCAAGCATGGTACAAAGGAAAGAAAGGCTATGGCAAAGGTTATGTTCACCATAAAGGCAAAGGTAAAGGAAAAGGCAAGAAAGGTGGAAAGGACTTCGGAAAAGGTTACGGCTTTGACAGCAAAGGCAAAGGTAAAGGTAAAGGTTTCGGAGGTTTTGGCAAAGGCAGAGGTCGAGGCAACTGGAAAGGCCGAGGTAGAGGTTTCAGAGGTTACAAAGGAAAAGGCAAAGGTCGAGGAAGAGGTTTCTTCAGACACAAAGGAAAAGGTAAAGGCAAAGCCCAAGCAGCTACAGGAGTGTGTCACTACTGTCATAAGTATGGACATTTCGAAGCACAGTGCAGACAGAAGATGCGTGACATGGGTTACCAGGCCAGGAACGTTGACCTTGAAAACCAGAGCGAGCAAGCAAGCACTACAGGTACTTCAACTCAGGCCCCTTCGTCAGCCAACAAGACCTCAACAAGCCAAAGCCAAGCAAGCCAAGGAACCCAAAGACCAGTGATTAGGATGGTCTCCATGTACCACATGGGAGACGAGCCCACAAGCTTTCCGGAGGAATTCGAGCTGAGTGAGAACTCTGAAGAGATAGAGATTGAGTACTTCGGAAGAGTTTTGCGGGTTGTTGGTGAAGAAGTTCAGGAAGAGAGGAGTGAGACAGAAGAGTTTTGGATTGGTGATGAAGATGATGAGTTTCAGGACTGTGATGAGGTGAGTGATGATGAATGGTTGCAATGGCATCTAGAAGGAACTCCGATAGGAACTCAGGATCGTGGATACTACTTTGAGTGTCCCAATGGATGTCATGAAACACCGTGGCACCCAAACATGCAGGAATGTGAGAACGGATGTCACCATCCTCCTAGAAGGAACAGAGTAGAGAGAACAGCACCCTCAAGGACCATCACCAGGTTTGCGCGTGCAGCAAGGAACGCGAGAGCTCGAGAGATCGAGGTCGTGCTGGATTCAGGAGCTGACATTTCGTTGGCACCGATGTGGATGAA